CAGGGATTTCTCGCCGAGAAGGAGAAGCTTCAGAAGGCTTGCGAGAAGCCGCTCGAGATGCCGCCGACAGTGATTTTAATGGCATGACCACTTGGTTCAAGCCACGTTTAGATCGGATTCAGGCCTCGCTAGTCCAGCGCGAAGAGGTGGAAGCAGCTCTCGTCGGTGTGGAGAAAAGTAGCCATATGGTGGCTTTCTTGAAGAAGATGCAGGATAATGGGTGAGAGCTCCCTGTCGGTACCCTTCCGTCTTCCGAGAGAGAATTTGCCAAGTGGAAGGCGGCCAGCAATGTCATTGACGAGATAGTCGTCACGAGCGACGATCTCAGTCTTCCGAGTAGATCAGAGATTGACGACCTGCGAAAGTGAATCTGGCGGCTTGTTTTTTTTTTATTATTCTTTTTGTAAGAATTTTGCCTGAGATGGCTTATTATCATTTTTTTTTAATGAAAGTTTCTTTAATTGCTTTTTTATAATGAAAGTTTTATCGTTCTTCATCTTTTTCCTACGTGTGATAGAACTTTTTAGTTCGGAACTGGAAGCGGGATTCCTTTGCCCGTCTTATACCAAACGACGATCAAGATCCAATACCAATTTTTCAGGATTCACTTTGTTCCGAAAGGTATGATCGAGGGTCGTGCGAGTATTGTCCTCAGCTTTTTTCTTATCCACTTCGAAAGTAATTAAATCAAACCGAAGTATCAAAAGAGTGGTGATAAACCACTTATTTTATTTATTGTGCTTGCTTTTTCGAATCGAATGTTTGGCCAGAACATCGTTTCAGCAAGATGCATCTGCATAAAAAAACGTGACTCTATACGCCGAGCTAAATTTCTGGAATATAAATTTTATTAAATTCATAGCTGCACCCGAAGGTTGCCTACGTACCCGCATTGGGATCAAACCGTTCGTAGTTCATTACAAGTATTGAATGAGTGGTATCACTCAGGGGCTAAGCCCGGTTTTATTGAAAAGAAGATAAAAAGAAAATAGGTTGGACTCGTTGTCGAATCTTTTTTGCTTATTTAGCGTCTTCAAGTGCTTTTTCCGTGGAGAGTCGCACTTTGCGTTTGCTGATGAAGCAAGATCTTGCCATCTGCTGATCTCCGCAAAGTGTAAAAACTCCGGCCGAAGTGGCAAATTTCATGCATTGATGATAAGTCGACACGATTGCTTTCATCTCGTGGATCTAAGGTATGGTATTGTAAATTGCTAGTTTGTCTATTACCGTAAATTTAATGATTTTTGTCACTCCGCCGACATAGACCGTGAGTCGTATGGTGCCGAGGCTGAAGAAAGATTCACTGGCAAAGCCAGTCAAAGGCTGTGGTGCCGCCTTGATGTCTTTGTCCTGGAATCCCATCTTAGTCAATGTATCTTTAAAGATGATGTTGACCGTGCTGCCGGTATCCACCAAGATTTTGGCCACTTCGCTATCGTGGATATATAGTTCGACCACCAGCGAGTCGTTATGCGGGGTGTGTAACCCATGCATATCCTTCGATGTGAAGGTGATCGTGGGGTGATAGGCCACGGGGCGAGGGAATTTTTGCTATGCGAGTGCTTTACGTCCATATTCTTTGATGGCATGGACCAAGTCATCGCAGTCGGGGAGTCCTCCCATGATCATGTTGACCCGTCGCTTTGGTGGAGGGGGTGGATTTTCGTGCTCTCCTTCGTTGTTCTGGCGCTCTGCTCCTTTCTCCTTCTCCTTTTCTTCGTGCCTTCTTTCGGGCGTGCGACTTCGGGGCCTTCCTCCGATGCCTCGACTGCTGCTTTTTCCTGGATCCCTGCGATCCAGAGTGGAGGTGGCCTGTCGCGAGTCCCTGGGTTTGAACTGCGTGAATATGAGCTTTTACTCCGGGATTGATCGCCTCCAATGTTGATTTTGCCTTCTTTGTATTGTTCATACAGTGTATTTTGGAGGTGTCGACAGGCTGAAGTAGCATGCCTTGTTCGCCCGTGAAAGGAGCAGTATAGATCATGAAATTCGTCCCTGTCGCTCGTGCTTCTCGGGGGATCTCCCAGGGTCCACTGGTTCCAGGGCTTTTCTCCAGATGCGACAACGGCGTGGGAAGATGGCTTGCTTTTGGTTGCGGGCTCCTTGTCTCTCGAAGCATTCGTTATGCCATATTTCTTAGCGTAGAAAATTTTCTCCTCTTCCATTCATATGAAGATTTGGGCTCGGTGGAGAGCATCTTCTATGGTTTCCCTCGGGTTCTTATGCAAATCTTCTTTGAGCGGGGATTCATACCATAGGCCGTTCATCAGTGCCTCGATAGCCAAAGCTTGCAAGATTTGCCCATACGCTGCGGCGGCGTTCTTAAATTTCTCGATGAATTCGCGGAGTGGTTCGTCAGGTTCTTGTACTAGAGTGAACAGGTTGACCGTCCTCTTCGTGATGATCATAGAATAATGTTTTATGAAGGCGTGGGTCAGATCTTTGAAGGGTTTGATCGAGGCTGGAGGTAGGTTAGAGAACCACTTCAAAGCATCCTTGTTGAAATGTTCTACAAAGGTTTGGCAGTGGTTGGCTTCGCGTTCGAGGTCGGTCTCGAATCGTTGCCTCTTCATGGCGATGTTTAATCCGGTCAGCCATAGGTTGGGATCTTCCATCCCGTTGTAGTATGGGAGCTTCAGTTTTATCGCCTCGCCGAGTCGTACATTGGTGATCCGCGGGGCGGGTTGCGTTCGACATCAGAGAGAATGGCTGAGATCTCCGGTGCCGAGCTGGTGGCCCGATGGACTTGGGATCCGATCGCGTTTATTCGTTGGTGAAGCCTTGCGATTTCAGAATTCAGTTTGCCAGATGGCTCCTCATCGTCCGCCGTTGTGCCCCCGATGTTGTTTGTCTCGAAGATCAAATGTCGTCTGATTGGCTATGATCTCGCAGTGGTCGCGGCTGCGAAGGCGCTGAGTTGCTCATCATACTTGGCTTTCTGGGCTGGAGGGTGTTTAGTTTGGACACCAAGTCCTGCGTGGGTGGCAGCATGGCGGTCTGGATAGCTGCTGCGAGGTCAGCGGCCTGGAGGGGAGCTGGGGGCACTCCCGTGGGTGGATTCGCGGTAGTGACGTTTGTACGTTCGCCGAGTGCGGATGTCTCGGTGTGAGTGGTGTCATCATCGTTGCGGATGAAATCGCTATTATCGACTGGGAGGCTCATCGCTTCGGCTTTTCTTGCTTAGTTTTTAAGAATTTATTCTCCTAGTCCCTACAGACGGTGCCAACTGTTGAACCAGAAAATCACCACTAGAGTTTTGATTAACAGTTGTGGGTTTCAGAGAATAAAGTCTTTTATTATTAGCAATAGAGCGAAGCGATTACAAAGAATGGGATAACCGAGAGGTTATGCCGAAGTGAAAAGAATGTTTGCGAAGTAAACTAGAAAGCGTTAGAGTCTCTGGTTTTAGCTCTGCTGCTCTCTAGAATGTATGAGTTGGTCTTCCAGGCTTCGGGGTCTCTGTATTTATAGGGATAGAGGGTCGGTTGCTCCGAACTCCTTTTCCTTTTGTCTTTTTTGAATATTTCCATATCCATGATATGGAAATATCCTTTATTCTCCGAGGAATAAGGAAATTTTCCTTTATCCTTTGAGTTAGTCCGATGTTTCCGGTCTTCAAGGTTATCTCCAAAGAGTTTGTTTTAATCCAAACCAGGTCGGTGCAGTCCTCCTGATCTTGACGGACTTAGGTTATTGCGAAAAAAGGCCTTTTAGGAAATATGTTCATTTCCCCTCTAACAAGTAGATTAGTGTTTTGAGTTTCTAAAATTAGTTACTTACAAATTACAATGAGTTGAGGACCGGCGCTAAAATAAAATAAAATGCAATCTAAAATGTTTCCCTGATCATTATCGAAAAAAAAATATACATCGTAATTAAGAACCACTCTTCAGTTAACCAGTTTCACTAAAACTTATGCGAGAGTCTAAATTATATATCACAAAGGCAGAGATCATTCTTCGTATACTCTATATATGTTTAAAGTGGCCAAATGTAAACTACGCCTCATAGTTTATTTTTTTAGCTACTATTTAAAATAATTAAAAATTATATATATTTAAAGAAATTTTCGTTTATATAAGAAAATTTGATATATAATGTATAATTTATCAAATTTTTATTTATAAATTTTAAAAAACTATTATGTAAAATAATAACAATGATACCTATAAAATTATCCAACTTTGACGTACATATACATTTGATTTAGAGAAATATAATCTTGCTAAAATTTTGGTATTATTTATTATTTCCATAGAATTTCTATAGTTCTTTTTTTTTTGAAAGTTTATGTGTTCAAATATTTAGTTTTTTTTATTGTAAGTCTTATTGATATTCTGTACCACTGTATATATAATCCATGATTCATGTTGATTTACATTTAATTTTATTAGGAAGCTGTAATGATCATGCAAAACCATTTTTTCCTTCTACATCATGTCTTCCAAGAGTCTTATGTTATATTTTTATTCAGTTTTCATTGTTTTAATTGTTAAATCGAGTTGTTGTAGATTTTTTTTAAGTTGATAATTGATAATGGTTATTTTTTATACATGTATTGTTAATTGTTAGTTTTTTTATTTAACTTTTAAAATTTTAAATTATATTCACATTTTTTGATTTAATAAATATGTTGATTTGTATCAATCATATTGAATTTACTTTTTTTTTGTTGGACATAATTTGTTAAATTAACTTTTAATATTTTAATTATACTTAGTAATTTTTTGTTTTATTTAAAAACTTATGTGGACCAATTAAATCAAGTTTTTTACGTCTTAATCATAAATAACATTTTTTTATTTAATGAATATGCTGATGTGGACCAATCAGATCGAGTTTTTTAATCCCATATGGACGTATTTAATGCACTATGCCATCAACTTTTATATATTATATGATGTAATTACATGATTTAATTCAATGAGAAGCGTTTAGATATTATTTATGTTTAAAGAACGATTTCAAATTCAGAAGAATGATTAGAACAGCAGCGCAGTCTAGCAAAACCGGTCCCCTGGCTGGTCGCTCATGTTAGCTGCGTTGGGTATCTCAAAGTGCCAGAGCCTACCAGCGGATTTAACTCTATACTTCTCACATAAGAACTCGTTTGCGTAAGCCTTCTCCACTTTACGGTCAACATCATGAAGGAAAACGTGCGTCGTGCCCGCACCTTTCCGGTTACGTGCCATGACGGCAGAGGAGAATACTGCGGCCATCCTCCATGGCATGGTTTCTGAGTACCCTTTCGGTGCATCCACCACGATCAGATCCCATTCTGTATCATAGAACTCATCAGGAAGTGAAGTCAACGCCAATGGACACTTTTCGTTGTACCGGATCGGGAAAGCGTTGGCCGGTAAACACTTTGGTTCGGATTTGTAAGTCGAGAGAAGACGGTCGGCTTGAGAAAGTTGGGTATGGTACTGAACATAGTGAGCCTAAGAAAGGGCGCATCGTTGAGAACGGCCTCCATCCACTCAGGATCCTCCTCTAGAAACACAGTAGTGCCACCAGGATTGAGGGAGGCCCACATGAGAGAGTCAAGGCCGAGGCCAAAGACAAGAAAGTTGCAAGGGATACGGTTCTTAAGGACGTCTAAAGTGATTGAGATCTCCTCGAAAGATTGTTGTGGGACGTTGAGCGAGGTAGCATAGTGGACGATGGATTGGAGTTGGATTGGTGTGGCTATGGATTGAGCCGTGGAGCATAGTGAGAAAGTGTTGTCCGAAGCTCGGATGAAACTAGAGATGAGAAGTACGCCACTTAAAAGACCAGCTAGAGCAGCCACGATGAACCATGGTTGCTCTAGAAGCGTGTGCTTTGCACCTTTGGACTTGTCTTGACCCATGATTTAATTTTGATTTTTTGGTTGGTTTGGCGAGAGAGGGTGATGAAGACTCAGGGGTTATACAAGGTGCATGGATCGGATGAGAAGGTTGATTAATAATGCTAAGAGGTGGAGTCAACAAATGCATGTCGGTCTCAATCATTGCATGATGAATCATCGTTGTTTTTTTTTTTTTTTTTTGAACTTTGAATCGTTGTTCATATTATCTAATTTATTATCGTGACACCCACCATGAATAAAATACATTTGAATTCCTTTTTATTTTATTTAATTTTTAATTAGTATTTATACGTACAGATTTATTTTTGAACAAATGCAGAGATCTTTGTATGGTTCTATATATGTTTTAAATAGCCAAATGTTACACTAAGCCTCAATGAATCATAAAGCCATATGAAACAAAGAATATAATTATAACAATAGAATACATGACTTATTTTTATGAGCAGCCTCTGGATAGTTATATTTAAAGAACATTTTAAAACTCAGAAGAACTATGCGGTGTTTAAACATTAAAAGAAGTAATTAACGAAGAATCGAATATAAGCGCAGTCTAGCAAAACCGGTCTCCTGGCTGGTCGCTCATGTTAGCTGCGTTAGGTATCTCAAAGTGCCAGAGCCTACCAGCGGATTTAACTCTGTACTTCTCACATAAGAACTCGTTGGCGTAAGCCTTCTCCACTTTACGGTCAACGTCATGAAGGAACACGTGCGTCGTGCCAGCACCTTTCCGGTTACGTGCCATGACGGATGATGAGAATATCGCCGCCATCCTCCCTGGCGCGGTTGCGAAGTACCCTTTCGGTGCATCCACCATGATCAGATCCCATTCTGTATCGTAGAACTCATCAGGAAGTGAAGTCAACGCTAATGGACACTTTTCGTTGTACCGGATCGGGAAAGCGTTGGCGGGTAAACACTTTGGTTCGGACTTGTATGTTTTGAGAAGACGGTCGGCTTGAGAAAGTTGGGTCCGGTACTGAACATGGTGGGCCCTGAGGGACGGTGCGTCCTTGAGTACGGCCTGGATCCACTCAGGATCCTCCTCCAAGAACACAGTAGTGCCACCTGGATTGAGGGAGGCCCACATAAGGGAGTCGCGGCCGAGACCAAAGACAAGAAAGTTGCAAGGGATACGGTCTTTAAGGACGTCTAAAGAGATTGAGATCTCTTCGAATGATTGTTGTGGGACGGTACGTGAGGTTGCGTAGTGGACGATGGATTGGAGTTGGATCGGTGTGGCTGAGTATTCGGCTATGGACTGAGCTGTTGTCTTAGCCGTGGAACATAGTGATAAAGTGTTGTCCGTAGCTCGAATGAAATTCGTGATGAGCACTGCGGCACCGAAAAGACCAGCTAGAGCAACAACGATGAACCATGGTCGCTCGAGAAGCGTGTGCTTTGCACCTTTCGACTTGTCTTGAATCATGTTTTGATTTTGTTTTTTTTTGGTTTGGCGAGAGAGGTTCATGACTCGGGGGGTTATACAAGGTGGATGGATCGGATGAGAAGGTGGAGAAATAATGCTTAAGAGTAGAAGTCAACGAATGTGAAGCACGTAGGTCTTAATCATTGCACGTATGATTGATGAATCATCGTTGTCTTATTATCTAATTTTTACTCTTTTCTTTTAGAAATAAATCCTAACAGATATGTTGATTTTGTTGATTTAATTACCTTCAAATGGAAAAAAAACTTACAGAAGAGTACTATAATTGTAAGAAAATGTTTATTGCAGTTGACATTATGAATTAAATAATTGGGTAAGTTCTTGATGTTAGTTCTTCAACAAAAAAAAAAGGTTAATTACAAAAAAAAGTCAGATTGTATCATTTATTTCAAATATTTGCATTACTTATAAGGGGGAATTGCTGAATATGACTCAAAACTTGAGTTGAAATGTAAAACTAGACCCCCTATTGCATGTTTGACAAAAATAACTCACATGAGTAGTAAAATTACAACTTTAACCCTTATGACCAAACAAAAAAACGCCAACCTCAATTACTGTTTTATCCCAGAGAAGTCTACTCGAGAAGTTAAGTAGACTTCTCGAGTAGACTTCTCCAAGAAGTCTACTATTTAATAATATGTTTACAATTAATTTTAAAAATCATAGAAGATAATTTAATAAAAAAATTAGATACATAACAACAAATATATACTTTTTACACCTATTAAAAATAAAATTTGACAGAAAATAATCAATTTAAATCATCATAGATAAATTAGGATAAAAATCAATACTAAGAGACTTCTCGAGTAGACTTCTCGGTTTCTCGAGTAGACTTCTCGAGTAGACTTCTTGGAGAAGTCTACTTACACGAATCTTTTCCTACATATATAAGGAGAGTTTAACCTAATTGTATTAACAACAAAGTCTCTCTCTATCTAAAAAACGCCTCTCTCTCTCTCTTCTCCCTTCTCTCTGGCCATGAATTTCTTCTCGTTCCTCTCTTGCTGTCAATATCCTCTCCATCCTCTCTATCTTGCATTCAACCTCCTCTCACTTGCAGATTATGGTAGTGGTAAGCAAATCTGAGCTTTTGTGTTCCTCTTTTTATTTGCTTTGTGTTCATATTGCAAATCTGAGATTATTATTATAGATTTGAGCTTATTGTTGTAGATCTAAGTTTATTTTTGTAGATCTGCATTTATTGTTGTGTAAATTTTGTAGATTTTGTTAATTTTTGTTATTATTGCAGAGCTGAATTTTGTTGATTTTTGTACAGATCTGAGTGTTATAAATATAGTAGATTATTATTATAGATCCGAGCTTATTAGTTTAGATTTGAGCTTATTGTTGTAGATCTAAGTTTATATTCGTAGATCTAAGTTTATTGTTGTATAAATTTTATAGATTTTGTTCTAGATCTAATTTTTTTGTTATTGTTGCAGAGCTGAATTTTGTTGATTTTTTTACAGATCTGAATGTAAACTTCTCGAGTAGACTTCTCGATCTCGAGCAGACTTCTCGATCTCGAGCAGACTTCTCGAGTAGACTTCTCGATCTCGAGCAGACTTCTCACGCAGACTTCAGTTGCATACATAGTTTTCAGAGATTTTAGTTTACTAGTCATTTCTTATGCCAATTTTAAGATTTATAATTAGTGATCCTTAAATGTTTGTTTGTTTAGAGGGTTATTTTCTATGTAATGTTGAATTGCATTGAATGTTTTGTATCAAATTCTTAAATTATCTATGTTTATCTATTTTACAAAATAGACTTCTCCTGTCTCGAGTAGACTTCTTAAAGACATTAATTTTACATTACTTATAAGTGATTCAGAGGGACATTTCTCCCATTTATATCATATAACTTGTCAACCGAGTAGACTTCTCTTGTCTCGAGTAGACTTCTCCTGTCTCGAGTAGACTTCTAAAAGACATTAATTTTACATAACTTAAAAGTGATTCAGAGGGACATTTCTCTCATTTATATCATATAACTTGTCAACCGAGTAGACTTCTCTTGTCTCGAGTAGACTTCTCCTCTCTCGAGTAGACTTCTAAAAGACATTAATTTTACATAACTTAAAAGTGATTCAGAGGGACATTTCTCTCATTTATATCATATAACTTGTCAACCGAGTAGACTTCTCTTGTCTCGAGTAGACTTCTGAAGTAGACTTCTCATTGTCTCGAGTAGACTTCTTAAAGACATTAATTTTACATAACTTAAAGGTGACAACATTCGCCCTCCTTTGCTATTCGCCCTCCTTTGCTATTCGCCCTCCTTTGCCAACATTCACCAAGAAGCTCACCATGTGTGCAACCATCTCTTAAGAACAACATTCACCCTCCTTTGCTATTATCCACCTCGAACTGCCACACTGATTAACTTTTAACCCATTCTCCATAAACAGCGGGTATGTGAGCCATTCTCTGTGAAAAAAGAACAAAATCCAAACCACATTAGACATCAAAATTGCATAAGTAGACTTCTCTGAAAGTCGGATGAAGTCTACATAGTAGACTTCTACAGTAGACTAAGAAGTCTACTCTTAATAAGCTAAGTATCATATAAAACATGAAAACTCATTCGACTATACCTATAAAATATAAACATGCAAAACTTATACATAAGCAAGAAAACTTAATAACAGAAGCTTATGATCACGAAAATCTTAAAAATTCGTTATATATTGTATAAAAATGATTTTTTTTAAAAAACAAGAAAAGTAGACTTCTCGGATAAAAGTAGACTTCTCGCAGGTTAGTTTTGCAATTGCCAAAATATTAGTAGACTTCTCTATGAAAAGTAGACTTCTCCGAGAAGTCTACTTTCGTAAGTAGACTTCTCGGAGAAGTCTACTTTGCATAGAGAAGTCTACTCTACAAAGTCAAAGGTTGGTCAATTGCAAAAATGACCTGCTTCTAAAAAAGTCTACTCGAGAAGTCTACTCTATTTTTTTGTTATCAAAGGAAATTGAGTAGACTTCATTCGGACCAATATAAGTCTACTTCTTCATGCGGTTAATTGCAAAACTAACCTGGGCGTTGACTAGTAGACTTCATTCGGACCGAGAGAAGTCTACTTTCGGAGTATTTTCGTAAATAAGTGAGGAAGATGAGTATTAGTTGGTCATTTGGATTTACGAAAATAAAAGAAATTAATTAAAAATAATGGCAATTTCGTGAATAACTGAAACTATGAAGGATTGTTTGGACACAAAATGGCAAATGTTGGGAAAGTGATTTTTGTGGGTTAGATTTGCAATTCAAATCAAATTTTAGGTCATTTTTGCAAGAATCCCTACTTATAATTGATACAAATGAATTTTGCATCATTTAGAAAAGTGACTCTGAATATGGTGATGCAAATAATTGACACCAGTTGGATATTAAATGATTCAAATATATATAATTTTTGTATCGATTATTATAATCAATGTCAACATGTGTCATTTATTTAAAACTAATGTTATTATTTACATCAATTGTTATAAATGGTGTTAGTCTTTGCGTCAATTTTTTATAAATGATGTAATAGTTGTATCATTTACAACAATCGATTTTAATAGTAGTATCATTTACAAAAATCGATTTTAATAGTGGTATCAGTTATAATAATCGATTTTAATATTTATATCATTTACGATAAACGATTTTAATAGTTATATCATTTATATTAAATAATTTAATATTTGTATCATTTAAAATATTCGATTTATTTAAAATTAATGTTTTTATACATCAATTTGCATAAATGATATTAGTATTTATAACATTTAAATAATTGATGTTATAATTTATGTCAATTTTCAAAAATGATTTTAATAGTTGTATCATTTACAATATTTGATTTAAAATATTACTATCATTTATACATAATTGATGTAAAACTTATTTATTTTTTGTAAAAAGAAATATAAACAAAATAATTAATTCAAAGACTAAAAACCAAATTTGAATTACTAATTAATGTATTAAAATACACAATTCAAATCTTTCCTAAAAAGTTGTGCAAATGCATAAAATATAAATAAACCAACGTTACTAAAAAGTTTTGCTAATCTAATGTTGATCAGATCGCACCATAATAAAGGTTGTGTGGATATCAATTGGCACCATCATCCATTTCCTGAAGAAAAAATTATATAACTTATTAGTTTATCATCTAAAGAAGATTTGGTGTACGTCTATAAAATTAGTATGTACAATACCATTTACCTGCGGATTTGGCAGAGTTGGCATGTTTGCAAATGTTGGATTTGGTATGTTCCCAAAAGCTACAGCAAAACTAGAAGTCCATGCAGTTGCCTGAATATATAGTTTAGTATATTAGTTTTATATATTCAAACTATAATAACAAAAGTTAAATTATAAATTATTATCTGTTCACCAGTTGAAGTACCAAGTATTTGTTGGATGAAAGTACTCATTGCCTTTACTTGATCTTTAAATCCTTTCACTTCTTCCTGCAGCTGAACAATCACTTCAGAATTTTCTGTTTCTGCTCTAGTTGCAGCTGATCGCCTTGCTAATGTTGAAGGTGTAGGTCCACGACCAACACCACGTATTCTTCCCGGACGCTCTGGACCAAACACTCGAGCATACTCATCATCCAATCTAGCTGGAACATTGTTTATGACTTGCGAATTCTGACACAATAGCTTCGTAAGTTCTTCCTAAAAAGAGCAATCAAAACATAAATATCAAACCGATTCCCTAACCATATCTTCAAACAACTGATTGTCTATTATCTATTAACAAGTAAAGCCACCAGAATCACATCTCAAACTTGTTTAATTCAAAGTTCACAACCAAAACTATTCACCAAAGCTCATACCATTCTTTGGAAAAAAACAATGTTCCGAGTAATATAAAATCAATAGTGATTTTAAATAATACTTACCGCACATGTTTTTGCCTTCTCACATATGAAGCTTCCATCAGGTTTTGTGCGAGACTCAATGAAAAACTCTGCTCGAGATGGTGCTTTTCCAGTCCTGATTTTCTTCGTTAAAAGTACATGCATAAACAATATACAGTATCAGTATAATATCAGTGTAATAAACTAGTTCATATCACAATTAAGTAACTCACAATCTCATTTCTTCTCCTGCCAAAGCTTTTTCTTCCACATAAGTGAGGCATGGTATTCTTTTTCTGGTTCTCGGTATTCCTCTCTTGCATTTTCTGAAAGCTCATATATTAAAAGAAAATTATGCATTTGATAGAGAGAAATCAAACTAAATATTAAATTGCAAAGAATAAACTATACCTTCCACTTCTCAGTGAACCTCATCTCCACGAAATGACACCCTTGATTATTAGGAATACCCTTAGGTCGGTTCTACATCGTTTCTCTTAGAGTATCTCGTTTGTGTTCATCCCAAAGACGTTTTCTGACATCCTTGCATCTGCTACCAAGTGCGCTTACTACATATTTTATTCTCATCATTGGATCATCAAACCAGAATTTGAACTAAAATGACAGAACATCAAATGAGTCATCAAACCAAAATATTATCTTCTAAATATGAAAAGAGGCTAGATGTTACCTGAATTACATCCCATGTCGTGTTTTTTGTGTGAGTAGTCACCAACCTCCACTCCTTGTAGTTAATAGGTAGCAAATTGACATCATTGCTTAATTGGCCTAACCATGATCCAAGTAAACCTCCAGAATCTCCAATTGGCTGACCACTATCTTCATCAAAATACACTCACTTTGATGTTTCACAATTTCCAGACCTCTTGAGATGTCATTAGTTTGCCTTCTATGTTTCCATCAGTATCTTGTTCATGAACATGTAAATATTAGAATATAGTTGAATTTGTATATATACACATTTATTTAACCACTTTTCAGAATACAAAACTCTATGTATATTTAAGCTTGAAACCGGTGAAAACATGTTGTAAAATGGATGAAAGCTCTTGAGATTGTTATTTATATTACCTATGACTTGTATTTTCCATTTGAAGCTTTTACATTGAGGAGCAAGTGGAGGAGGCATATTGCAATCTGAATTCATTTGTGGTAAATCATCTGGTGGTTGTGTCTCGGAATCCATGAAATTCATGATCTTAACAAGGTAATAAAAAAAAAGACTATCTGTTTATATAGACCATCGATGAAATCAAATGTATACACAAAAAAAGAGATATAGATTAATTTATTACTACAGTTCAATCTCTCAAAATACACGTCATGATTTTGAGATTCAGCCAAATGTTAAAAGATATAAATTGACTTTGAGATTCAGGCAAAACTTTAAGATACAAGCTGATCATTACATAGGTAGCATACAAATTGAATTCTAACTACAAGTTTGATCTGCAAAATCTGTAAATTTCAGAGATCCACAAAACAAACATATAATTTTAAATACAAAATTACCACAGCTTGAATCAATAAGTAATAAAGAACTTAATAGTAACCAACAACAATCATTCTATAAGTGTTGATTGATTCTATTCACTCATTTATTTTAAACCCATAACAAAAGCATAATGGTAAATTTGAGAGTTAAGTCACCTTACTTGGTAAGCGATTGATGAGTTCTGATTCAGATCTGATTACTCTTGGCCGGTTTCTCCAAAACAGAATGATTTAGAAACCTTAAATCTAATAATTAAATAGTGGTCAATATATATATGAAAATATTTGTCTCTAGATCAAAAATTAATTCCCGCTTGGGGAAAAAAGTAGCGGGATCTAAAAAAAGATTTATTGAAGATTTCTTTTTTATCACCAAATATATATATATATTGAGTTTTTAAGAAGGTTTTATAAGTTGTGTGAAAAAATTACAAAGCAAAAGCACTAACAATTAATTAGTCAAATAAAAATAGAGATCAGTTACCACGCTCGTTCAGCTCAGAATATTAGGAGAAGCTTCCGATGCCAGATCTTTGCTTCTTAGATCTCTCCTTTCCTCCATCGATCTTACAATCTGCAACCACACATAGATCCTCCGAACAACACCACCCTTGCTTCTGAAATACTTCAAATTTGGTTCTCCTAACTTTCATTAGCAAGAGATTACACTCTCGACTATACATCTCCCCTCCAGCTTCTCGATCTCTCTGTATTACAGACTTAGGAACATGATCGTCATCAACTAATTAAATTTCAAGATATACATTAAAATAATTTAATATGGGCTAGCTGACCCAACAAGCAATAAAGCCTTGTTTAGGCTCTATTACAAAAACACAATTATTGATATTTATCCAATTAATTAGATTCATTCAACATCGACGAGCAACACCATTTAATTACTGAAATCAAATTCAGTCTTGAGACATAAACAGATCGAAGACCAGACTGAATCTGCTCTATAATTAGCAGGTTGATTTTGTTGGCTAAACATGTTTATTGAGAACTATAGGAACATAAGAGGAGGTAGAGGCAGTTCAGGTTTAAACCACTTGCTAGTAGTACAAGCAAAGTTAAAACATCACTCAAATTACAACGATAAGAGGTTCAGTGAGTCTAGAGTTAGCCTTATACTAAATTTCACTTAAGAGAGTATTTGAAATCAAAGACATCACTCAAAACACAACGATAACAGGTTCAGTGAGCATGTAAATCTCTGTTTCCAACTCGTGAAAGACATTACAGAAGGAAGAGAAGTGAAAAGAACAAAAACTTGATCAATCTTGGTATCATATGCGGAAACCAAATGAACCTGATATCTTAGATTAAAAACATAATTGCCGGTACGGCTCTCTGATTTAGTGATCATATTTCTGGAACTTCCACTCAATGTTATCTGTTAAAACTCAGCAATATTAGCAAACAAGCAAACAGAAAAACTGCAATGCACAAGCTTCAATAAGAGAAACACATACCCAGTGGACAAACTTGACGAGTCTTTAACCATCTACTTATGCAGTGAAAGTTGATAGTGTGATTGCAAACACCTGCAAGTAACCAACATCAGATGTAATGCAGTGAATTTAGCCATTCTCTGAGTTCATAACTTATCCTTAATCATAGAAAATTGCAAGTACAAACCAGTACGGAAATTTGAAAGAATTGCAAACTATAACTACAATTCGGACCAAATTACTGCTGCATTCGGATAGCATAGACATCTACGCAGTGCCACCAAATAAGAAAACTTCAATGTCAAGCTATAACAAATGAGCTCTGAGATGCTAAAATTGTTTCACACAACACTACTTATTTTGTGTTTCTAGATACGCAACTACAATAATCAAAGGCCACGATCTTGTTATTACCCATTCACCGATTTAGCCTGTTATTACAACAAGAAAAATTTCAAACTCTTAAGGATTAAGAAACTCACTTAGAGAGTCTGATACAACCTGTTGGCCTGTCATGCAGATTCACCATCAACATCACCCATATCATATACGTCTCTTGGCTGAAAATGAACTGCGACATTCCAATCTACCTCATAAGGATCTTTTACATAATATACCATTCTTGCCTCAGATGCCAATATGTACGGCTCATCTTCCACATTATCTCCGGTGGATAACAATCGTGAAAAATTTACCATATGATGACCATATGCATCCACCTTGTATCCTCGCTCCGTACGAGTGTCAGCCCAATTGCACTTGAATAATACAACTTTGAAAACCTCATAATAATTCAACTCCATAACCTCAACCAGATTACCATAGTAAGCTACAGTTCCTGTTCTTGGATTAGAATCACGAGAACTAGCATAACTCATAGTCTCAACAGCTATATAAACACCACTATTTTGAGTTTTCAGGTCGGACTCTCTTTCCATTGTTCGGAATTTGAAACCATTGACGTTGTAAGCTGTATACTTGACAACCTTTTCAGATGGACCCAAAGCTAAGCATCGCAAATCATAAGTTATTCCATCTAACTCATTTGTCTCTACTTTCTGTTTGATCCAGTTTGAAAAATTTAGATGCATTTCTCGGTCAATGTCGATAGCACGATTTCTCTTGCTTTGGTGAGATGGTTTTCTCCACAGCTCATTTTTATACATCCTAAACAGAAAATAATTAACAGAACTTATATATGAGATAACTTCAACCAAACATAGCTAAAATGAGTTGTTCTTGAAAGAGAAACTTACTCTCGTAAGTGATCAAGTAGTTGACAATTGATCAATACATGTTGATGCACTTGCTGCCTCTCTACATGGTTAAGAGTGTAAACCTGACCTGCTCCAACAAATCTTCCAAGGTTTGGAAAAATGAGTGGAAGTTCTGAATTTGGTCTTATACTAGTTTGAGCTACAGGTCGATCATCAACACGGCCAATCCGAGTAAATCGTGTCTCTATATCATTGAGATACATTGAGCAAAAAGTTACACACTCATCAGCTAAATATTGCTCACATATAGAACTTTCCGGCTTAGCACGATTCCGAACATATGATTTGAAGTGTCCTAGAGTCCTGTAGATAATTAAATTAAGTAAGGTTACAGTTATGTATATATATATATATATAAACATAGAATGGAAAAATCACCTCTCAATCGGATACATCCAATGAAATGGAACTGGCCCACCAAATTTTGCCTCTTCTGTAAGATGCACTATTAAATATACCATCACAGTGAAAAATGATGGAGGAAAAAACATCTCCATACGACATAAAGTTACTACAATACGGTCTTGTAATTTATCAAGCTCATCGTTATCGAGGACCCTTGCTGATATATCTCTAAAAATTTGACAAAGCTCCACAATGGCTGAAGTCACATCTGTTGGCAGCAGATTCTGAATCGCAACTGAAAATAAATCTCTCATTATCACGTGACAGTCATGACTTTTTAATCCTGATACCTTGCGCCTATTAACATCAACACAACTTGATAAGTTAGAAGCATAACCATCATGGAGTTTTACATTCTTCAAGACACTTACAAAAATATCTTTCCCATCATTGTTCAGAGTAAAACATGCTGCTGGATACTTCTCATTATCATCAGGCCATAAGTCAGAGCGTATACCTAGCTTACAGATATCTTTTCTAGTACTCAGATTATCTTTCGATTTTTCTTTGTCATCTAATAATGTGTAGACTAGATTGTCAAACACATTCTTCTCTATGTGCATGACATCCAGATTATGCCGCAACATAATAAATTCCCAATAAGGCAACTAAAAAAATATACTTTTCTTCTTCCATTGCTGAGTACTAGATCTTCCAGCATCTCTTTGATCTCTCTTTCTTCTAACTCCAACTGAACCATGCTTCTTACCAAGAGTAACATTAACTGCTTCTAGTTGATGAATAATTGTAGAACCTGATAACATGGTCGGTGGAGATCTGGTTTCTATATTTCCATCAAAATTGGTTTTATTTTGACGAAAACCATGATCTTGAGGAAGAAAACGACAATGACCAATAAAACAGTTTTTTTCCCATGGCATAAACGTTGTCCAATGCCATCAAAATTGCAGTTTGGACAAGCTGATGCTGTATGCGTATTCCAACCTGACAAATTCCCAAGCCCAGGAAAATCACTAACTGTCCACATAATGGCTGCTCGCATGTCAAACGTTTCTTTTGTGGAAGCATCTAGCGTTTTAACACCATCAGACCATAAGTCCTTCAACTCTTTGATAAGTGGCTGCAAGTAGACATCAATATCATTACCAGGCATCTGCTTTCCAGAGATTACCATAGAGAGGATCATTGATGTCTGCGCCATTGACATCCACGGTGGAAAATTATAAGGAAAAAGTATCACTGGTCATATGCTATAATTACTACTCATTGTACCAAATGGGTTAAAACCGTCAGTCGCCAAGCCTAGTCTGACATTTTTTGGTTCAGATGCGAATTCTGGATATTTTTTATCAAATGCCTTCCAAGCCCCTCTGTCTCTTGGATGTCGAAGCTTACCATCACTGTTAATAGCAGTTGCATGCTAACTCATGTGGGAAGCAGTTTTTGATGACATGAATAGACGTTGTAATCGTGGCTTTAGAGGAAAATAACGCAAAACCTTTGCATGAGCTCTTTTTTTCCTATTCTCTGTTCCAGATACTATACTCTTTGTTTCCTTCCAACGAGAGCTTTCACAAACTTTGCAAATTTTCCTTTCTGCATCTGCCTCCCAATATAACATGCAATCATTTGGACATGCATGAATTGACTCATAAGACAATCCAATTTGCGAATCACCTTTTTCATGTCATTGAATGAATCTGGCAGTTTGGCATGTGTAAATGCGTCTTTGAGCAAATCAAGCACCATGGATATCCCTTCGTCACTAATCCCACACATACGTTTGATATGGTACAGCTTCAATATGAATGACAACTCCGTGAATTTAGTACATCCTGGATATAACTCTTGAGTAAAATCAGCAAGCAACTCATCAAAATCCTCTCCTTTTCCATAATTACCACTTGAAGTTGATGGTCTATCAGTGTCCATAGGTTGCTCACATGATGCAGATCCATTTCTACTAGACACATTCATATTGATATCAGGAAAAGTCTCATCCAAGAGATTCAAAGTTGAATCCAATTCAACTTGAGCAATATGAGAAGATACTCTTGCATTCTCTGTAACACATGTACTCTCTCCGTGTAGTACCCAATTTGTGTAAGAACTTAAAAATCCAAAGCACATCAAATCACCTTCAATATCTTCTCTTGGTTTGGATTTGGTTAGAGAGCAACGGTTACATGGACATTTCATCATGAGTGCATTTGATTTACCAAATGCAAAGTTTAAGAAACTTTTTACCCCTGATATGTAATCTTGAGATAAACATGGTTTGTCTATCCATGACTTATCCATCATCAAAACCTGAAAATTTGATTTGCACAATCTGAAAGCTTCAGAAAATCACAAAAGAACATAAAATTTCAACACTAATAAAAGTTCAATTCAATAAAAAAAAAAGGCACAAACGCAGAAGGACCGACACTCAAAAGAGAAGAGACCTCCGAGATAGAACAAAACTCAAATCAAGTAATTATTCGAAAGAGAAGACATGCACTCAAACTAAAAGAGACCTCCGAGATAGAACAAAACTCATACTCAATCAGAGTATTTGTTCATTCACGTTTCCTTACAACTCCAGAATCTAGATATAAGTTTGATTCTAAGAAAAACAGCTATAAGATTCATAACAAGTCAACCTATTTCCAGTGTTGTAAAGTTAAAATAAACAGAGTAGAGTAGACACAATGCATTGCAAAAGTAGAACATAGCAGAATATTGTGTTAAGCCCCCAGCGTGTGTTAGAAGCATTAAGTCCTCTAGTGTTATACCATAGACTAAGAAAGGGAGAATTATTATCTTCTAACAGAAGTTAATTGATCAAGTTGTTGTAATAGTTAATTCCAGCCTGGTTTATTCCTCCCTTTAGATCCTCACCTAATTAACCACTTCACGTGATTAGTATTCATGAATATAGTAGTAACTCTTACATATATCTGACCGGATCGTTTATATCTTATGGGGCAAAATACGTGATTAGGAGATCTAGAATCAGTAAGCATTGAAGCCAATTTGATTCAGCAATTATATATATATGTCAAAAAAGAGAGGAGAGAATCAAGTCACCTCAATTGTGCACTAGAAACTGATTTGAGGATGATGAGAGAGTCATATCCTCTTTTTGACGTTTTTTGCTTTTGATTCTGGTTTTGCGATGGTATCAGCGATTTTTTCCGTCACTAGTTTGTAGGTGATCGGGTTTGCTCCGATATATGGTTTACGATGCTCTGTTTTCTGAAAGTAGAGTAAATTAACGATGTTGGCTGTTTAGTAAACCATATTTTCTTATTAAAGTTCTTAATTTTAGTAAACCATACGGTTTATACATACAAAACCAAACCAAAACAATCATAATTATACCTTTCCCACTTTACAGAATTGAGTCATATCTTTTCTACTTAATAAATTCTATCTTTTTCTGAACATAATGTCTATTTGTTTTCCTGCACTGAGTGGTAGAACCTGGGAATGGCGTGGACATTATCAGACTTGCCATGGCTGCTTCTCTTCAGAGTCTACTTTTAATCCAATTCTTGTGACACGGAGTTTTGATCTGCGGATGATATAAAGAAGAGACATTATAGATCAAACCCGATATGTTAAATCTTCTTCGACCAATAATGAGATTTTCCATAAACGCATATCGAAACATTGTGATGTTAAAGTTCTGGCTTTATTACGGTCTTATGTAGTCATATTTTTCCTACTTCACAGAATTGAGGTGTGAGTTAAAAACATGCAGTCTTAGGAGAAACCTGCAACTCTTAAAAACCTGCAACTTTTTAAAACAAAAACCTCCAAATCCTAAAAACCTGCAACTTGCGCTTCTGAGTTTTTAGTTGTGTTTTGACACCCCTACCTTTAGGTGAAAAACAAGAGATTGATCAACAAAAGTTATAAAAAAAGAGCGGAAGGAGTCGATCGATGGATAGATCGGAGAATTGCAAGTTTTTGTTAACATCAATTTTTGTATTGATGTTAATTTTGGGTCATTTGTAGAAATGATGTTAACAAATTTTAATAAGTACATCAATTATTTATGTGATGTAAATTTTTATTTTAGCATCAATTTTGTAAAAGTGATCCAAATTAATAGAATTTGTATCAGTTTTATTGAATTGATGCTAAAATAGTTAATTAAAACATCAATTATTATAACTGATGTTAAACCATGTATATTTGTTTCATTTATCAATAAGTGATTTAAAATAGAATCACTTAATAATATGATACAAATTAAATGATACAATCTACCTTTTTTGTAGTGGTTCTTGATGTTTAAGTTTAGAGAAATTTAGTTCAATAACAAAAAAAAAATTATAATCTACAAACTAACCATTTTCTCTCGCTATCTCTCTCTAAGCATTTGGTTACTTTCTAAATTATTATTATTTTTTGGTTATTCAACAAATTCACCCTTAAATTTACCAAAAACGAAAAATAAAGTTCTTAGTGCTTATGACAAAGATATAATAATCGGGAAAAATGATAGTGAAAGTTTTTTTTGGATAAAGAAACTTATTTAACTTATTTTCACTTTTAACAATCTCTCCAATAAAATTACTTAATAAAAGTTAACCTCTTCTCTGCTCAAGAAAGATGAACCCAAAGAAGATTATTTACAGCTATATGTAAATTTCTTTTTTTATAAATGAAATAAATCATTAATGTATAGATAATAGATAGAAAATAGTTATAAGGCCATTTTAAAACATTTTTATATGATTTCTTTCATATATTTATTATTATGTGACAATATAAATTAAAAATATAAAATTATATCTTTTTAAATCATTCGATATAATAGATAAATAACAAACTATTTAAATAATAATAATTAATTATTTTTTAAAATTTAAAAGTAATTAAATATACACTTTTTATAATTAGTTAATTAATTATACTATATATATAAATATTATACTAAATTTAAATAAATAATAATTATTTCATGGAATATAAGATGTAGATTATTACCTAATTTAATAATAATTCTTATGTTCTTACTCTTATCAATATATCATATAACACACAATTCATTATGAGGGGAAAGAGGATAAACCAAACATGCCAAGTGCCTCATCATTTGCATTGCTGGAATAGCAGTTTGGTGATTTAAAATCAAACTGAAGAACCTAATTTCACATCGCGGCGGACCCAAAAATCTTTTCATCTCTTGGATTGATATACTTTCAATTAAAAAATTTCTTTCCTTATATTTAAATTAAAAAATTTAATTAAAATTTATCTCAAAACCTTAAAGTTAACCTTTGAAATTTGTTTTTAGAACCTTTTCATTTAATAAAAGAGATCCGGATTTATGAGTAACATGAATTTATTTCAGATATTTTTATTGCGGTTTACCAAACTAAATTTCTAATTAACTAAATATGAATTTAATCTAAAAATTATTTAAGTTTGAATGTTATTTTTAATCCATATATCATATCCTAATAATATATAGAAAAATACTAGTATAATAGAAATAAATTGAAAATACTTAATACATTTGATATAAATTGTTTATATTTATAAAAGGTCCATCCATAGAAAATCCTGTTTTTTACAGCTGGTCTATGAAAAATCTAAATATTTAATTTTATTGGTTTTACAAAAATAAAGCTTACTTTTTGTTTGGTAAAATCTCATGGAAATAAATGTCTACTTAACTTATAGAACCCATCTTGTGCATAGTTCATCTCTATTTTGTCCTCCCGTCGAGGTAAATCTTAGGGCAATTTTAAATCGCCGACGGACGTCTCGCCGCCGTGCCGCCTCTTTCTCCGCTTCTTTCGCTACTTCGCAGACCATTCCGCCGCTATGTCTCAGGTACAGTGCCCACACTCTCTATTGCCCCCGTCTTATAGTGCTGGGAAAGAATATCTCGCAGATCTAACACTGAATCGAGACGGAGCTTATTGCTTCTGCTTGATTTACTGAAAAATTAGTATCACAGTCAATTCTATGATTACAAATTACGAAGAAGCACATTGAATCATTCAATTTTCATTTGCGCGACTGTTTGTGCGTTTCTGATTCATATTGGAGATTCCTCATCTTACCACTGATCAGTGAGAGTCGATTGATCTGGGTTTAATTCGTGTATTTGACTTCTTTCCTCTGATTTTTTTTTTTTTTTTTTTTTTTTTTTTTTTCAGGTAGACAACAGAAATTCGTCAGCAGCCAAGCGTGCTAGAACTGACGGTACGGCATTTTACTATCACGGTTGTGTTCTAAAGAGTATAGTTTTGGACAATTCGAGTTTAATTTGATGCTTTTGACTGTAACCCATTTACTCGAAGATAGTAGCATATATGTTTATAAAGCTATATGTGTTTCTCCTACTACAATAATGAATAGCTTTTTGGTTTTACCAATTTTTGTTGTGGATAGGTGGGCGCAGGGAAGATGATTGGACCTGTCCCAGTTGTGGCAATGTCAATTTTTCATTCAGGACAACTTGCAATATGCGTAATTGCACTCAGCCTAGACCTGCAGATCACAATGGAGTAAGTAGTTGTTTGTATTGCGATATCAAGTATATGTTGTGTTTAGTCATATTGGAGAATTCATTTTGCAAAACAATCATTCTTACTGTGTGCCTCGATTTAGAGAATTTGTATGAGATGTCATGATGTAAACTGTAACCTATGCGTAATCCGGAGTCAGTTAAGCTCTTTGAATTACACATTCATAGACAGTCAGGATGGTGAGTAGTTTTAATAAGAACTTCCGATGTGTTTTTTATGAACTATAAGAACTGAAGTGGAAGACTAGCCTTAGTGTTCTGTCTCTAGGGCAGTCTATTGCATCTACTATACTCTGTGTGCAGGAGATTGTAGCTCAGAACCAACATATATTGCTGGAAGTTGTATATTAAGTAAGGGATTAGCAGAATGTTAAGGGCATTCCGGGAGTTTTTGTTGGTGATGTGGAATAGTTTGGATTCTCTTGAATAATCCCCTTGGTTCTAAATTTTGTGTACTTTGATTCCAGAGATTTTTTCATAGTTGAAACCCATATGTTGTCTGTTTTTCAAAGCTTCGGTTTAAACAGTTATCTCCTTGGTTTACTATTATAACTTTATTTCCATGCCTGATGATGGCCCATTTGTTGTGTATATCTGTAACAGAAGTCTGCTCCAAAACCTATCCAACCTCCACATAGTTTCTCATCGCCAGGGAGATATTTAGGATCTGGGGGTCCCCCTTCGGTATATATGGGCGGGTCACCATATGGATCTTCTCTCTTTAATGGGTCGTCTATGCCTCCTTTTGACGTACCATTTTCTGGTGGCTCGCCTTATCATTTTAACTATAACAGCCGAATTCCTGCCGCAGCTCATTACAGACCGTTACATATGGCTGGACCACCACCGTACCATGGCGGATCTATGATGGGAAATGGTATGTACTGTTTTCATCAGTTTTTTGGTTTCTGGCTATTTCTTATTTTACCTGTGTGACTGTGTCTAATTTGGTTGGTGCATTATGTTGGCCTTTTTTTTTGCCAGGTGGTATGTATGGAATGCCTCCACCAATGGACAGGTATGGCCTTGGTATGGCTATGGGTCCTGCTGCTGCTGCTGCAATGGTATGTATTACAGTTAGATGCTTGGTTCTGGTAACATGCAAAAGCTTGTAAGTCGTTGGGCTTGTAACATGAGGTGAAATCTTTAACAACATGTGTGAGCCGTTCTTTGCAGATGCCAAGACCCGGGTTCTTTCCAGATGAAAAACCACAGAAGAGAGGTGTGTGCTATAGTGTGGTTATGCTTTTCCTCATTTTAGAACATGTCACCTTTGAAGTTATATATATTACTGAGTTCTGTACATTTACAGATTCAACTCGTGATAATGATTGGACATGTCCGAATTGTGGTAATGTAAACTTCTCGTTCAGAATTGTATGCAACATGAGAAAGTGCAACACTCCAAAGCCTGGGCCCCAGGTTTGTGCCGCTTTTTTTTTCGCTTCACTTTGACCGAATCATATACCGAACAAAGACATTTATTTGAAATCTAGGGCTTGAGTAGTTAAGTTGGTTATCAAACGAACAGCTTGCTTAATCATGTAGATAGCTTATTTGTAGAAAATTTGGGATTGTTTTCGTAATCTCTCTGACCTTTAGTTCTTTTATAATTGCAGCAAGGTGGAAGCTCAGATAAAATTTCAAGTAAGCCTCTCAAAAATCTTAAATATTTGCAGCTTAATTACTTGATGAAGCTTTGAGACTGACACAGTGACTTGTGTTTGTTTATCAGAACAAAAGGCACCAGAAGGGAGCTGGAAGTGTGACAATTGTGGGAACATAAACTATCCTTTCAGGAGCAAATGCAACAGGCAAAACTGTGGAGCTGATAAACCAGAGGATCAGTCAAACGAATCTCCTTCCCATGCACCAGAAGAGAACGATCAGGTTTGTCATGCGACGTATCTATGCGGTCACATCTCTTTGTTAATAAACTGTTTGCCTCGAAAAAAAACCACAGATGTAACAGCCCGTGTAGATTTTACGCCTTGTGAAAGCCATGTTTCTTTGTTTGTGAAAATTTTAACGCATCTTCTTATATCTCTGACTATATTAGAAAATTTTAAAACCCAATTTAGAGATGATGATGGTCCAAAATCTCTGAACGGTGTGTTTATGGTCTGTTCCAGTGAGTCGTAGACATGTTTGGGGGGGTTGAGAAGGGTGTGATTGTCTGATCCAGCGGGTGTCTCGTAATGTCAGTCAAATGTCTCGCGTCAGGTCGTCCATGTTGCAGCGGTCGTCAAAAGTTGCTTTTGTCTATTTTTATGTCTCTTTGGGTTAGCTCTGTGTTGTATCAATGCATCAAATTGTTTTTAATCTACTCTTGTGGTCGTTATGGATCTTTTACTATAGAATCCTTCTCCAGGTCTATTATCCTGTTCACATACATCCTGGTCTTCTTAGTTGGCACTTTTGGTTATACATTCTTCTTTGTTATTCACGTTGGTCGTTTTTCTTACCGTATTACCATCTTCGTAAAATTAGTGTTTTTTCGGTTAATGGAGTCTTTCTTGGGGGTGCAAAGAGGTTTTAGATAGAATTAACTAAGCAAAAGTTATTGATGAACTTATATTTCTACCCATGCATCATCAATATTGTTTGATATACACAACTGTACATTCTGGTGTCACTTTATTATGTGAACAACTAAGAAAGTTGTCTTTAGAGAAACATCAAAATGGTTGAACATTATGCAAATGTATCTAGTACCAAATAGACAATTGTCAGAATAATAGTCATCGTTTTACACACCACGTAATCAGTATAACAAAGTTTTAGTTAGTAAGAGGAACGTGCTCTTTAATATAAAGAAGATGCAAGTTTTAATCTACATAAATATATATCAACAAACAAAACAAATGTTTCAACAAACAAAACAAATGTTGAAAATCCACAAAAAAAAACATGAAGCCATTAAAAATCAATATTTACATCAATGTTTCAACTTTCAACGAGCTGGCAGCTAAACTGGAAGTAGGAACTGCTGTTGATGGTGACGACGATCGCAATGTTGTTCCCAAGATTCAGCAACCAAGGAGGAGTTGATGGTACACGTGACGACGGGGAATGAAGTATGAACGTAGGCTAACAAAGAAGGACATCCCATGATAACTCAGGACCCGGACACATCATTGCACATGCAACTAACTAGCAAACCCACGTATGCAATGGGTTTGCCAAACGGTCAACCCATAGAGCGAGTGAGTAAAAGCGGGAACGAGACTCATGCATGACCAGTCAATAAAAAGAAGCAGGATAGGAAGAGCAAGAATAGTTATATAAGAAGGATAGATTAAACGCTTAAGTATAGTCCTTATTTATAGAGAACGCTTAACCTAATCCAAATCCTATAGACATAATCTTAATCCTGAATTCCTGATGGTACACACTATAAGTCTTTTAATTATTAAACCGATACTTGATTTCTATGATCTTTTTTTGTCATATGATGAGATTATATTGACGAAATTACGAAAGAGAACGCATTTGTATAATCCATCAATAAGCATTATAGGCTCCAACGTCAACGATACCGTGATTGGATATGAACCTTCTGACTGTGCTACCGTTTTTGGTGGACCAAACGCATACTTCATGCTCAAAACTCAAAACTGATCAGATCCCGGGAAAAAGAAAAGGAGAAAGTTATATTTGTCTGTCGTTCCTTTTAATAGAAACTTCCACTAAAATTTTTGTGTGAATCGAAAATTCTAGAAAGTGGATTTAATGTAAAAGCTATAAGTGACAAGGAAAAAGAGACAAGCCACACAACAATTTCAGAAAAATTGGAATGAAGATTAATATGGTCTTTTATGTAAAGATGATGCGTTCTAATTGAGAAATGGTCCAATTTTTTTTAGAAAAATACCATCCAACAACCAAAGAACTTAGAAGAATTAAGTAACTAACCTAAAAAAGTTTTCCGTTATAGGTGAAGAGAGTACTTCAAAAACTAACAGATGGGCTTGTTTTTTCCACCAAGGCAAAGATAAAAAGCGGCAATCAGGGTTAGTACCATCCACTTAAAAAAGTGAAGACTAGTATACCTCAAAGTGGCATGCTGACCGAGGAGGAATCTTCTGACCAGGCACCACTGCATCAACCGCATACTTGTAAATATAATATACCTCATATATAACAATACTATGCCATGTTCCAGAATAACATGCCACTTTTAATCATCATAGGTACAAAAGTAATGAAAACTGAGGATGGACACACCACAATGCCAGAAACTTTGCATCAGGATGGTGAGATTCTAGTTCTTTGATATTGTATTGGTTGATCAAATATGATGTACACACGTAATATTTTTCTGCCATTACCAAGTCACTAAACTCAAACTTCGGTAGATAGAACTTTGGTTGAACAAACTGCTCTCGGAGAGACGCCGGATCTCAATTAGTTTAGGAGGTGAGCAGCCACAAAGGTGGATATATTGTGTATTAGTTGCCATTCAATCTTTATTCCTATTTTTCTTTGTTTTTCTTTTTTGTTAATTTTATTTGCTTTCAGTTTTTTTTAAAAGAAATATTGATACAAACTTGCAGTTTTATAAAGAAAAAAAATAAGTGTAAATGGTGATAAGTATAAAGATAAAAAGAATAATAAATTTAAAAGAGTGGAATTAAGTTTTTCCACTAGTATTGCACCTTTTATTTTTATGAATGGAAATATTTTTTTAAAGTGGAAATGGTTCAATCTCATTGGTCTAAATCTTTATAATTTTATCGCTCAAACATATACTAGTAGCTTATGATTATGCCTTCCAAATATCACAAAAAAGTTAACAGAATTTTTTTTCCAAACTCTCTAATCGACTTAAAGAAAAAGCATGAGTAGATCAGATACTCATTTAATAGCGCCATAATCTTCTAATATGTAACATATGTTTTTTTAAGTATTAGAACTTTTTTATAAAAAAAAAATATTAGAACTTTTTTATAAAAAAAAAGTATTAGAACTTTTTTAATATCGATCCATAAGAGAGTATTCATTAAAAAAAAATGCTTAATAAAATGGGTTTAGCCCTAAAGTAGTTGCATGAAAGATGAAAATGTGAGGGGGATAATCGATCTGAGCAGCAACGTGAGAGGAAGTACAGTGTGGATATAATAATATATGGACGGTATAGATAAATAAATAAATAAACGACTCAGTTCAAACGAAGCGTTGTCGAGACGTTTATAAGGAAGGATGAGAGAGAAAGAAGATTTTAATCAGAAATTGTTATAAAAAACTTCGTTTTCTTTATTCTTCTCTATATCTCATTAAGAATTTTTTTTCCATTTCTGGATTTTTAAAGGTTGTGAATCGTTGTTTAACAAACATCAGACGTATTTTGGATATGATACAAATTCTAATTGAAGTACAATTTTATCGTATCAAAGGTATCAGACAAAAGCCTTTCTTGGGAACAATAGTGGTGGAAACGAGATCTCATGCATCAAGTGGCGAGGGTGATGATTCGGTGAACTCGTAGCTTGATCAAATGCCTAGGCGTCAACAAACACTGTATCACCAAAAATATAGCGGATCTCTTTGAGGCACTTCGCATATTGACACTTCAGCGAGCCAATTCTCCAGCACCAGTTCAATCTAGACCACAGATTAACATCGAGCAAGGACAAAAATTCGAGATGCGGTAACCTTATCAACTATGTTGGAATCACTTGGTTAGCCAAACTGAATTTTCTTAGATTTAACGGCACTAGGTTGAAGGAATGACTCTTTGAGGTATAACAATTCTTTGCCGCAGATCATACTCCCGATGAAATTAGAGTAGCCGTCGTCTCAATTCATTTGGATGATCTTGTGGCTACTTAGCATCAATCGTTGGTCCAGGATGAAATTGAAAATCTGGATTTACGAGATTGGAACTATTACAAAGAGTTGTTGAAAGAAATATTTGATGACGTCTGGGATGATCCAATAGCAGAGTTGAAGAAGTTAAGAGAGACATATGGTATTGTTGAATACCACAACAAGTTTGAGTTGATTTGTACACGTGTGAAGCTTTTAGAGGAATACTTGGTCAGTAATTACTTGGCTTGCGTACTGATACTCAAATACACGTACGTATGTTCCAACCTCAAATAGCGCGACAATATCAGATGCTGGGAAAATTGTATGAAACGGCACATCCTCAGAAGCCTTCTGGTTCGTCATGGTCGTTGGCTAAGTCTCTCTCATCAGAAAAAGAGATTTTAACCACTTCAAAGGAGCAGAAGAATAAGTGGCATAAATTAACAGTGAGTGATAAGGGGAACAATCAAAGTAATCAACCAAAAACATTCTTGTATTCAGAGGAAATGAATGACAGAAGATCTAAAGGTTTATGCTATTATTGTGATGAAAAGTACACTTTGGGTCATTACAAGGTTCATAAGAAGACTCAGTTGTATGTGTTGGTGTTAGAGGATAAAGCAGAGGGAGAAAGTGTAGAAGTGATGAATGAGGAGGAGAAACCAGCGGAGAAATTACACAAATTTCTGTAAATGCGATTTCAGGAGTTTCAGATTTTACAATGCAAGTCAAGAGAGTTCATAAGAAGCATTTTCTGTTTACGTTGGTGGATTCAGGGTATACTTACAACTTTATTGACATTGTGATAGCAGAGAAGTTGGGTTGTCCCTTGCTACCATTGGATAATGCTAGAGTCAGAGTGGCATATGGCAATCATCTGAGTGTGAAGGCTAAAGTAAGACAGTTTCAGTGGGCTTTTTAGGGCACAAGGTTTACAGACGACTTCATGGTGATTCCGTTGAAAGGTTGTGATGTAGTTTTGAGAGTACAATGGCTCTATAAATTCAGACCAATCACTTCAGACTTTAAGAATCTGTCTATGAAGTTTTAGCGGGAAGACAAAAAAATAGTACTTAGGGGTATTCAACCGGTATCCGTGAGAGCAATTAAAGCTGAGAAGTTAGAATAAACTTCAAGATAGTGGGATAGAATTGTCGATGATCTGCATCAGTGAAGACAGATTTCCCATTCCGTTGATTGAAGATCCATAATCGAGGAGGCTCAAAAATCTATTCTAAGATAGCTTTACGAACAGGGTACGTATCAAGTTCGAATGGACTTTGTGGATATACACAAGACATCATTCAAAACCCATAGCGTACATTGTGAATATTTGGTGATGCCCTTCGGGTTGACAAACGCTCCAACTACGTTTCAAGGGCTAATGAAGTCAACATTCCGAGAGTACTTGAGGAAATTCATCCTAATATTTTTCGATGATATTCTCATCTACAACAGCTCGATGGAGTTGCATGTTAAACACTTGTAACGCGTATTTGAGGCGATGAGGAGGGAGAATTTATATGCTAAACGTAGTAAGTGTGTTTTTGCAATGTCAACAGTTGAATACTTTGGTCATTATATAGAAAAAGAGGGCATCTCTACAGATCCAAACAAGATTAAATATGTGGCTGAATGGTCGATCCCCACATCTTTAAACAGTTGAGAGGGTTTCTGAGATTGGTCGGATACTACATGCACTTTGTGAAGAACTTTGGTAGTATAGCAAAACCTCTCACTCTACTTACAAAAAAGGACTCGTTTAATTGGTCTGA